TACATCATCAGTTGGTTACTACATTATCAGTTGTAACACAGTTCATCTTGTCAATAATGGGCATGCCAACTCAATCATCCTGAAGTGTAAGGCTAAAAGGATGTCCTGTTTTGCCAGGATCTCCAGATGCCGAAACTCTTGCTGAAATTGACAACAAAAGACAAGTACAGTGTATAATTGTACAACGGGTTAAGACCATGCACAATAAAATGCGGAAGGGAAACTGTATGGCAAAACGATATCATTTGTACAACTATGTCAAGTCACTGTGCAAGTTTTTTTTAGGTATCGAGGTCATCAATTCTTTACAATACAGTCAGTAGGCTGTAGTTGTACTAAGCCTAAAAAAAAACCCAGAAATTGTTTAAAATTCGATTACACTGGCAAGGCAGACAAAATACAAGAACAGTCTGATTTAATTTGGGTTTTTTTTACCTGCATGTAACGTGTATCCTCTTAATAGTCCTATCTCAGTCACTATTAAATGTAAATATCAATCTAATATGTTAACTGTGAATAAAAACAGAAGAGGAAGTAACTTTTATTTCTTTGTGATATAAGTTGTCCTTACTATGTTCGTTATAATGAAGCAAACATACCGATATGCCGGCGAATAAACAGAGTAGCCAAAGGTGAATCGACACAATTGTCTCTTCGGGTTCCACTACACCAAATACGCACTCACAGAAAACAACGCAGTGTTGGACAGAAAGTTGCGCCACCTGATGCCGCTCGGAAGAAATGCGGTGAGGTTTTTTCCCTCACTAGACTCTAATGATTATTACCCCCGGGACATTAGAAAAAATACCATAGAAAGCCATGTATTTTTTTATTCCCTCCCGCAAGCTTTCCCCAAAATGGTTGCCAATCTCAGCTCAAGGCCCAGGTATAAATGTCGCAGCCCGCCTCTGTGCGAAATAGGCCCACAAAATAAGGCTTTTTGTGAACGAAATCACCCGATTTGGAAGCCACAAGTCACAAATGCTTGATATCGCAGACAATTTTCTACAATATGTCGCAAGTATAGGCTACGATTGGAACTTTTATTCAAAATTATCTTTGGGATTATAAAATGTTAATGAGCTTGCGCTCACTAATTTAAAGCTGCAATCCATCATGCTGCTTTCCGAAAAGTAACCGACCTTATTAATGTCGAAAAACATACTTTGTTGAAGGATAAAAGGGACTAAACTCCCTGTCAAATTATTTTTTCTTGCAAGCTGTCATTTTGAAGACATTAACGAAAGAAGGCCTTTCCGTTAGTAGTTATGCGAAGTGGGCACAAGCGTTGGCACAACGCACACGCGTGCGCAGTAGCTATAATACGTAGGATCAGTGCGCAACATCGCGTACGCGCGTTCAGTAGCCGTGTCACGCACACAGCCCTGTTTGACCTTAGTTTCTCGTCTCGAGGTCAAGCACGCATGGCCCAAAAGCGAGATTTATTCGAGACTACAGAAAAACACAAAAAGTGCCTCGATACATGCACTGTTTGGCCAAGATGGCTAAATAAGTGAAAAGTTGAAATCGTGTGCTTTGTTTTGATAACAAAAATAACTGCCTTTGACAAACATAAAGTGATGTTATGGCCTGTCAAACAAAATCATATTTTTGTATCAACAAAATCGAGGGCCGATAGTTTTTAGGTGTACAATTCGATTCTTAAAAAAGGCTGAAACAAATGTCAAGGCTTAGTAGATAGAGGAAACTATACGCTTCATTTTTATGTGAAACACGTGCAGGAAACTTCTAATGTTTGGTACAAATCGCCGGTTGAAAAATGAAGACTTTTGCAAGACTTCATGATTTGCAATGACAATGTACGCGTGTAAACGTACGCCGACGTACGTTGGCCTGAAAACATTGTGAATAGCTCGCGCTATTTGCTCAATGAATGACTTATTAATGACTTGAATGACTTATTTTAAGCAGCCCACACTCGAGCGCGAGCTCGACCAATCACTGGGCGTATGGGTCACAAGGTCACACCGTGTTTGGGTTGCTCGCTCTATGCTTTACAAAGGCGACGATCTTTTCGCGTTGTGAAAAATGGGAGTTGTTGGAAACATTAGGTGAACATCGAATTCTTAAACATTAAAGACAACACACTCACAAGATTTTTTGTAGATTAAGGTTAACTCTTTCGTTTGTTTACCTCAACATTTGGGAGACTTTCGTCGTTCTCGAAAAAAACCTGAAATTTCATGACCTAATTTTTAGTCGATTTGTCCGTGAAATAATATCGTCAAAATCCATCGAAATCCTTTTTTGTTTTAGAAAAAATACCTTGATAGATTAATGAAATAGGTCTTTAACTGCCTAAAACAACTTTGTTTGTTTGGATCAGTTATGGTTTGCCATGAAAATTGCGAATATTCTGAAGCCCTTTTTACGGCCATCGTTCGCTGGCCTCGCGTTGCTATCAGTTGTGTGGACAAGAAAATAGAGCAGCAACGCGAGACACGGCAACTGACTGCGCGTAGATGCATTCGGCTCGACAACGTGTCTTTGACGCTTCACTTCTGATTTGAAATCGAGATCCTAAAATGCTGCTTTTCTCAAAATAATACAGCTACAGCTGAGCTGAAACTTCATCAGGTTAGTTGTTAAGTACCCTTCTTTAGATTTTGAGCACTTTTGTAGCGTCAAACGAACAAAATGAACAAAATACAAATGATGGACTATACCTTAAAAGTGTGCACCCATCGGCTGGAGACGGAGCTGGTACAACTCTGGACTCAGTGCAACCACCCATGTCTACGTTATTGGTCACTTGATGATTTTTCGAAAATTATTAACTCTGCTACAACAAAACTCGGCTGCTACTCATTCCGTTGATATCATTCCACTGCTCTGATATTTTTTTATGCACACATAGTACATGCGCCTTTATGGTTTGTTTTGTGTTTGGTGGAAAGGTTTCTCCATAGAAACGTATACAAATATTGGTGCGTTTGAATACGTAGAAACGTTTATTGCGTCAGAAAGTCAAATTCTGTGATACGCTCATTACGGGCGAATGACAACGTGATGTTTTACGTAAGGACATTAATTTTGTTACGCTTCATGTGTCAAAGGCGTCACAATCGGCAACGCGCGTTCGACTTGCTTCTATTGGTCAGTTGTTGACGCTTAATTCCATAGATATAGAAGAAAAAGACGTTTATTCTATATCTATGCTTAATTCATAGATATAGAACTAAAACATCTCTGACTTAATTGACCTAACGCGGTAGAATTGCGTTAGAATCGCGTCAACGCAGCTTGAGAAATGTTGTCCAATTACATAATATCTGAGACAAACAAAACTTAGTGTACAAAATCTCAATTGGGTTGTCTAAGGGGCGTGGCTAACTCACAAACGGCGATAGGTCAATTCTCCGGGCGGCGCGAACCAATATATCACATCGCTTTTTACCACCCGTTTCACCTATGACCAAAACTTTAATACTCAAGTTGCTTCACTGGTGCATTTGGTCGATCATGACGCAGGGACTTGATTTCATTTATGTCGCCACAAAAAAAAATGGAATCAAAATTTAGTTAAGTTATGGTTCTTCTCGGGGCGTTCGGTCAATAACATTAAAAACTAAACGGATACCATTAAAAAAATCATCTAATCGAGCTAACGAAATGACGGCTTCATCTTCAACTTCGGTTTCCCCTCTCTGTATCAACCCCCTTTCCTGAAGCTAGATCCGCCCCTGATAAAACATTTCCAAACACCGTTTGCAAAAGCTGCTAATTGTAACAATGCTCGGCCCGTTACATTATCAAGGCAAAATATATACCACTATAACACTATACCATTAACAAAATTAATTATCTCGGCATACAAGCTATATCCTTTCTACATTTTCTCTGCATTTAAGGAAAAGAGATGAACATACCACAATCCACTACAAGTCCAGTCACAAGCAAAATACGGGCCCAGGATCAATAAGAACAAAATACACCTGTCAAAGCTCACTACAATAGGTTACTCTACACCAAATACGCGCTCATAGAAAACAACACCAAATCGGACACGACAGAGAAAGCGCCACCTGGTGACGCTCAGGAACAAGGTGGCCAGGGTTTTTTTTTGCTGAAAATTATAGATTATGACCCCAGGACTATTTTACCATTGGTAGCCCCGGTTTTTTTATATTCCCCTCCCCGAAACCGTGCGCCCCTAAAATGTTTGCCAATCTCTGGGCCCAGATCTAAATTTAGCCCCACCTCTAGAGTGAAGTAGGCCAACAAATAATGCTTTTTGAGAACGAAATTCCCTGAGTTGGAAGCCACAAGTCACAAACGCTTGATCTCCAGACTATTTTCTACGATATGTCCCAAGTATAAGTCGCAAGGACCTCTTATTCAAAATTACCCTTGGGATTAATGAGCTCGCGCGCACTAATTTAAAGGTTATTGGTGATGTGCTCCCTGCATGCAGGGACTTGTGAAGGACTCGAATACTTAATCCTTCTTTTTTTTTGGCTAGATCTGCTGCTTTGTTTTTGGTCAATATCCAAACGCAGTTCACAAGTCTTGTAACTCCATACTCTTGTTTTCGTTATGTACAAATATGAATGTTGGGGAAACTTCTAAAATTCTGTTTTTGTCAAACGAATAAAAAAACAGAGTGTAAACAAACGTGTTTCGAGAAAATCACACTATACGTTCTCAGAAAACATTCTTATTCTACAAAATTTACTATGCTGTGATTATTATTGAAACAATAATAACATTTGTAAAGTAAGATGTTTTTTAAACGACTACAGGAAATTTTGAATTTTTCGAATCGCTCATTGGTGTGTTTTCAGCAGCCCTTATTTCAAAGCTCATTGGTGTAACGTTGGTAGTCCTCATTACGTATCAAAATAGTATCAACCCTATGAGTCGCACATGCGCGCGTCGTTAAAACAGGCTGCCAATACGGGCGCGTAGTGTTTCGCACTGCGTCGCGCGCCAAGTTCGCCAGCGTATGCGCGTTCATTCAAATAGTATCGTCACAGAGTGAATGCATTCGATCGATGTGCGTTCGACACAACAAGCAAACGCACGTTTGCAGCTGCTGAATGTGCAGTGCACAATGCATGTCAGTTGTAGATTTTGATTCAGTGATTATCACAAATGTATCAACATTGCAAGCGATAAGATTTAAGTTTTCATTGCCGCCGACGGGAAATTTGACGGGAACCATGATCGTTGCAACTGGGAGTAACCTCTCCAGAGAAGGTAGGTCCTCGATGATTTTAATTACTCAACCAAAAATTGCAATTGTGCATGTAGTTAAAGGACGCGTTCCTATCCTGCCGCAATCGTTAGTCTCGTGGTGTATTATAATGGCGTAGGTGTTCGGCATGGAGGTGCAAATTCAAATAGGTAACAACACTGCGTGGATAGAAGTATAGCCAAAGACTTAATTTATTTCTTTCATGTGAGTAAAATCGGTTTGTAGGGTCTTAGGTGCGCTAAAATTGCCAACTCGAGGAAATGTACTTTGCGATTTTTGGACTCACCTAAGTATTTAGCCATGTTTAAACCGACATAAATGTCTTGGATACATGGCAGGGTATATAATTTTTTAAGGGAATCTTTCGGGGTCAGTTCAGTATGCAGACGGACTAGAGACTACAAACACGTACAAGTTTAACGTTGCTTTGGAGTTTATTTTCCTGATTAACGTCAGTCAGCATCGCATATGGAATTCCTGAACCCATCGCCCAACAGATAAGGACACATAGAGTATGCAGGCGTGAAATAAGCTTCTATAACGAGGTAAAACATAAAAAAAACTCTGGTAAAAATGTTGGGTGGTTTCATGTAGAGAATTCTCGTCCTGGACGTTAGTCATATTGCAATGAAGACTTCGTCCAACCTGGGCTAGGGGATTAGAGTGAAAAAGATCTCATAATTACCTTGGTCGTTATCACTAAGCCTGGTTCTGGATCGGTTATATATTGAAATACCTTTATTGTCATTCACATCAGTGATACAATAAGAACATTAAGAAATTACATTTATTTATAAATAAAACCATCTACATTTTGTTCATTATCACACAGAAAACGTCAAACATGGACAAATTCACAAATGTACATACACCAAAGTAGCAGTAAAAAAAAAAAGAAAAAGGAAGAAGGGGGAACCTAGGACTCAGGCGTAGGAACAGGGGGGGGGGAACCCTGAAAGGGCCTGGCAAGGTAAAAAGGGGAAAATTCCACCATCTGGAGGGGGACAAAGCTATAAAAAAGGCAATTTGGCGGGACATGTATATTAAAACAAAAAAAAGTGTTTTTTTTTTTTAAAAAAAACGGGGGAGATTCAACATGCACAGAATACTTGCAATAAACACCTAAAACCCTAATGTCTGGAAATAGAAAAAAAAAAGGAGAAAAAAATTGCACATTCAAAGGCCTTACTTGATGCTCAACTTCCAGTCAAGCTAGGGAACTTGTATAGGAAATTGAATTTGCACAGAACTTACATTTGCAAAGGATGGCTTCTAGGCTATAATATTATAATGGAGCGCCAATCACATTCAAACTCCCTATATTAAAAAAAAAAAAAAAAACAATAGAAACTGCATGTATAGGTAAAATTTAAAAAAGATATGGATAAAACTGTCACAGATCATATTCACACACAAAAAAAAAAAGGACATGGACTGGAATTAAAAACTTAAAACTTAAAACTTAAAAAGTCTAAGTTTTTACATGTAGCCCGATGAGTAAAAAAAAATTTTTTTTTTCCACACAAAATCAGCTTATGAAAAGGAAGAAATTGCACATGTATTCAAGGGCCCGAAGATGCTCAACTACGAGCCAACCTAGGGAGCCTCTATCAGAGAGTATAATTTGCTGACAAAAATGCCAATGAGCCCACCATTAAATTTAAGGGAAAAAATAACCCAATATGACAGTCCCATTCGAGATCCCTTTACACTGAACATGTATCCCTGAATCAAATTACAGCAATTTTCTGAAATTATTCACACATTCGCTGGTTTTTATAATAATAAATGAGTGGTTTAAATGACCAGTCACACTCGATTCTCCGGTTACTGAAAACAGTATATGAGGCATTCACTACTGTCCTTACAATATCCTCTAAGAGAGGCTTAATGACCCGTTTAGACATACTAGGGGCCAAAGTTCTGACAGCAGAGGTTAAGTCTGATGGGATATAATGACCTAAGGCACCTACTTCTATTGTCACCAAGTCCACTGATCGAATTTGTTCTGTTAAGTCTGCCACCAGTCCTTGGTATTTTGTTGTTTTGCGGACTTTAGCATTCCCCAGGTTTACTGTGGAGTTGTTTGGGATCGTCAGTTCTCCTACAACGGCGCTTGTGTGCCCGCTATGTAGAAAGATGTCCGGACGAAGGTTGGTTGTGCATATTGCGACTGGAATAGTACTGGATTCCACGCACATACCTGGGAGGTCGACTGTCAAGTTCGATTCCTGGTCCACATGATCGTACAGGTATTTTGAAAGACATTTGAGGACGCAGTTGTGTCTCCATGTGAAGTGACCCAAATTCAGGGCTTTTTCACATGCGCTCAGTATGTGAGCAAGCGTGCATCTAGGTTTGTGACACAGGTGACATTTTGGGTCAACTTGGATGCGCCATCTTGTCAAGTTCATGGGGGTGGGTAGGGTATCGCATCCTGCTCTGAGTAGAAATGCTAGCTGGCCGCTGGGGAGAGAATAACGCACTCGCTGCCAGGCTTTGGATTCACTCTCCAACTGGATAATGTCTGATAGCTTTGATTGTACTTGTAGCTCTTGTAGGTGTGTTTCCCAGTGGAGATCATGGTTGGCTTTTGTCAGTTCCTTTATTCTCCTGGCAGAGGTTCGTGAGGTGTGTGTAGTGTCGCTTGAAGCCAGTTCCCGGACTTTATCAATGGCTGATTTGAAGATTTTAGGGACCGCATTTCCCCAGTCACCCGCAGTAGTGTGTTTGTAGAGGGAGTCTTGTAGATTTTGAGTTATGAGTGGGTCACCTCCATGTTTGAAGATTGAGAGGACCAGATTAATTTTGCACTTTTGTTCTAGTTGGGGCAAGTATGGGGCATTGAGAGTTTTGGTGTGAAAAAGAGCTGCCAGTGTGGTTGATTTGACGAAACCGAGCCATTTTTTCAGTTTTGGAGTGACTTTCCGTTGGAGCGTTTTCAACTGGTTTTCGGACACAGCGCCAACTGATAGTGAGAATCGGATGGCAGGGCACAAGTAGTTGGAGTATATCCAAGTTTTATACTCGGGCTTGATTGGTCGTTGGTCGATGTTATCCAAAGCCCTCATCACTGTTTTTTGAATATTAGATGCCGAGGCGATTTTTGTGTTCAAAGCCGTCGCGCCTACTACTGCACCCAGAAATGTTGTCGGCTTATCGCACACATTTGCGATTTTCTGGCCACTAATGGAGACTGAGGCAGATTTAATCGCTTTGGGGCCTACCTTACGCAGGTGGGCGCACTTGTCCGGTCGAATCTCCAATCCAACAGTCAGGAAGGCATCATTCAATTCGTTAAGAATGATTTGATGATCCGTCTGGTGCTGAGTAACTAATGTCAGATCGTCCACATAGGCAAGGGCGATGATTGTGTCGGATTGTGCAAACTTGACCTTCTCAGATTCCTTGCGAATAGCTGGAAGTTTTCTGACTGGAATCGTTGTGGAGAGGGGCAGAAAGGGTTTGTCTCTCTTCCAGGCCAGGTGCCAATCTACACTGTGAAGGTTGACTGTTTCGGATGAGCCGTCTGCATACCGGAGGATCGTTGACCCATCATTCGAATGCGATTCAACTTGGCAGTGATACCATCCTACCGTGTCGGTGTCGCCAGCGTTGTTATCTGAGGGTTCCTCATTCCACTTCACATACAATGAGGCACCCTCAGGGGGTAGACCTGATGACCTATTCTGGATCGGGTCAAAAAGTGCTTCGCTTATGAAAACATAAACACGTCAGAAAATCTTTTCCCCCTCAGATAGAACAACCCCAAATCAATCAGATTTTCTGATAAAGTATTATTATTGTTTTGTAGTTCATTTAAGGGAATTGTTGTAAAATTTAAAAAGTGAACTTGCGTCAATGTGTTTAAACCTTCGTCTGCAGCGCGAAGGCTTGAACACGCATGATCCCGATAAAGTTGTTTTTCCAACACATCACACTACTCCATACATACCGGCGCGATCCAGAACTAGGCAAAAACATGCGGTCAGTCTTTGGTGAATTTGAGACTATTCGTCTTATCTTTATTCAACAAACATTCGATGCAAAATGTAAATTCAGTACGAAATATTTAAAATAACATATTTTGGATACAAAAGAAAACAAATGTCGTGGATTTGCGGATCTCGTGATTTTCCACAAACCGTCCAAACATGTCAAAGTGCGAGTTTGGTAAGCTGGCCCAATTTCTTTTTGTAGTGATCTAATCAAAAATATATTCTGGTATCAAGAAGATTACACTTCACTTTTCAAAACGCACTTCGTCGAAAAAAGAAGTGTATAATTGGTAACCAATCCCAAAGGGGTAGGATTTCATAAATTTTGGAGCGATCCGAAACTAGGAAAACGACTATACTGATTTGTATTGAAAAGTGAAGTGAAGATATTGATTGCATTTCAATGTGGGCCGGGTAACAAGTGGTGATTCTGAAATGTGAATAGCTAACAGTTGCAAGGCTTAAAAACATGACAAGACACTGCAGGGGTGACACTGTCTTATGTGAATTCCATTTTAAACAACAGAATTGAATTTCATGTTGACTGAAACTCGGGGACAAACAATGTTAAACTGTACTGGCGCTGTTAAAGAAAACTCCCAAGTTAAACCCACTATCAGTCATTAACAACTGCGAGCCACAATATCTGTTTGGAATCACGATTATAGCTCTTTAGAAACTGATTTATCCGACGGCTTGTTGGCGGGAGTCGCTGTGCATTAAGTTTACCAAGTTTTTCATCCCCACTTTGACGTCACCCATCTGTAGTTCGTGTACTTTACCTTTCTTGTTCTTGTTTCAGATACTAGCGAAAGGCTGCGGCAATATCTTCTCACGAAATCCGAATCCAGCCTACAGGAGAATTCACAAAACCCTTCCAGCGTTACCTCCGTCTGTGGCCACAATCAAGAATATAATAGACCAAATGCAACCAGCTTTGCAGGAAAAGTAAATTCACCAAAACGGCAGATGCAACAGCTGGAAAGACAAACGGTTGTTTGTACAGACGATGTGATAGCAGAACAGAGGAGACTTAAAGCGACAGATTCAGCCGTTTGTGGGAATCCTCCAGAGCCCCACGTCACTCTCTCCGTCAAAGTAGCAGAAGGTGGTGTGCTGTCCATCGCTGAGCATGATCGACAAAATCGGCCACAATGCGGCAGGATGACAGAAAGTTATGTAGCCGAACCACTAAAGAGAAGCCACCGTTTAGATGAAAGGGCTGGCGTAGGCCACGTTACACGAACCTCGGCGCGAAGTAGGTCTGCCAAGATTCCACGGAAAATACCTGGCTCCGAACCAGGTTGTCCCCGCGGTTATCGCACAGTGCACTTCACGCTGTGCGTTGCCAACTTGATGAAAGTAAGCGACCACGTTGATGGAACTAGCCAGGTGGAGCTCAGGCCCTTGCGCTTGGGCCCCGATCCAAGGCTACCACCGCTCTACGGGTGCATTGACGGCAAGGGAGAGCTGCAACTCTCAATGGGTGGCTACAACCAGAATGCGCTTGGCAGAATGGCGAGTTTGGTGGCAGCGATGGGATTGGAGGAAAAGCCCGGCGATCCCGCGGAACCTACAGCGAAACGAGTCGTACTGAACGGAAAGACGTGGCCAACCTTTCCAGTTTCTGTGACCATTCTCGACAATGAACGCCATCCTCAAAACCAAATTCATCATAGGATCCAATTAACAGCCACTGTTGCTCCATCCGCGCCTAGCTCCATTCTCTCTTATGGGATGTCCACTGTACACCCTCACACTGTTCCTAACTACTCGTCGCCGCCAGTTGAAGCGCTGCCTCTCTGTCAGAATCCAGTCATCAGACCTGTTACATCCAGCGTGGGTGTTCTGGTATCGGGCCGAGAGACAAAGCCGCCATACCTTGGAATCGGCTCCACGGCGAGATACAGATGCATGCCATTGAAGGACAAAACCGCGGTCCTGATGGCAGACAATGAGAACAACAGCGCATCTAGTTCAACGGGGAACGGCACACAGGATGAAAACCTCGCCGGGACTCCCAAGCTGCAACGGACCAGCCACTACGGGTCGACGGATTCCATCTGCAGCATCGACACTACAAGCGGCCGGCTCTACATCGCCGATCACACGAACACTCCACCGCCGATGTCACCACCAGTCACGACCCAGCGGACTACGGTGCCTGGAGAAGTATCACAACCGGAATCCTCAGCGTTCCAGATTGATTGCGCCCACAACGGGTCTAAAGGTAAAACGATCTCAGCGTTTCGCTCATTATCCTTTTTTTTGCTATATCTCGGACACAAAAAGAGCGCACTATTTGGCTTTGGGCTAATTCTTATTGCTAAAAAAAAAGTATATCATAAAGCGAAAAGCTCCCGCCTTTTGTGTTCTACATATTTCAGAAATGCTAATGTTCACAAATAAATGCATGTAGATGTTTTTAATTTCAGTTTTTACTGATTTAAGTGATTGAACGAGGGTTCAAAAACCTTTGCCTTTTTGGATATGGTTTCGCCATATCAACTGTAGTTAAACTGTACATTCATTCTGGCATATCCCGAGTGTTTTCAAAATCATATACACCACAATAATTTCAATATCTAAGACATACCAGTTTTTAGTTGTTCTTTGTTGGCGTGTTTGACTTATTTTGTCTTCAATTTCTTTTGTCTTCAGAGTATAGTTTCGAGAGAATAACCCTCAACAAATTGAAACCATTGAAATATACCTAATAAATGGATCCCCAACCGACAACGCTCCTGATAATTAAAAACGTGGCAGTCTTTACCAAAAAACTAGGCTGAAATCCCGCTTCATTCCAAGCAGTGAGCATTAACTCTATTCGTGTGAAAAATCACTCCATCGATAACGATTGAAATTTCATTAAATCGAAACGATCACGTTTTCACTTGAGTTTCGTTTAAGACAATTCTTTTGAGAACTATTTCAATCTAAAATTGCAGAGAATGTCACTCTAAATCATCTTGTGTCTAGTTCCACTATTTGGAACTTGGAGAGTAAATGCTTGCAACACACTTTCCATAGATCCCTCCCATAACAACTTGCTCATTTCCTATTAAAACGCAGAGTCTAGCGAACGCGAAGTGAGAGTCCCCAGTCCCCAACGATGCGTCAGTTCTCCAAAACAAGAGTTGCTGGAGGATTCCGCGTTCCTCAACACCGCACCGGTCGATGCTGACGATGAGTCCCAGGAAGTTGACGACCCGGGCACACGGGAAGGCGCGCATACCGCCTCCCAGGACTCAGTACTCGACGCCCAGGCGGAGGGAGTCGCTAACTTTTTGTCTTATCTGCAAGAGATGAACAAGCTGATGGAATCGGTGCTCGATAAAGGTCAAGTCGAGACTCCAACGGTGGAAGAAACAAACAAATGATTTTACCAATATAGAGCGTACAAATATCGCCACGTCCCAGAGCTCACGTTTTATGTATTACCACATGGTGTCACTAGGTTAAACCTTTCTTTTATTAATGCTCTAGATATAAAATTCACTTTTATTCCAGTATTTTTTGCCATCTCTTTGCTGTCTGTGGACTTGCAATTTGTCGGCCTATGTCAGCCTATATGTAATTTCAATAATTTGGCAATTTCTTAGATTCTTCTCAAAGTTTTATTGTTAAAACCTGTATATTTTTTTAAATAGCAATACTGTTTCTTTCTACTCAAGTTTTCCTTAAAAGTGTCTGTGAGCTAAATCTATATTTCAGGATGGATGATAGATTTCTTTTGTCTGGGATACACATTGTAACTTGGGTTTGTTTATTAAAAAATATTCATTTACAGTAAAAAATTAAATGTTATATATCATATAATAAAACTTGCAAGATGAATTATTTCCCTCTCCTTAATTTAACTTCAAACGTTATCAATAAGGCAACATTTCGGCATTGCATTTGTGTGCGCGCATATTCAGACTTGGCGATTTGCCCTCCGGCATACAAAAAATGCTTGGAAATAATTCAAGGACGTGTAATCAAAATTAAAACGTTCTTTCTCTGAGGTAGGCACTATAATGCTTGACAGCGTTTTTCATATTCATAATGCGTGCTTACCACTCACGACATACCACTTTGGACTTCCTTGCTAGCGGCAAAGTCGCTAGCGACTTCTCCCGCGACTTTGCCGCTCGCGAGGGACGAAAAGTCGCGAGTGGCGAAGTCGCAAGCACCTCACCACTAGCGACATCGCCGCTTGCGACTTCACCGCTCGCGACTTCGCCACTCGCGACTTTTCGCTACTCACGACCTTTCGCCACTCGCTTGTTCACCACTTACGTCTTCAGCGCGCGCGTCTCTGCTCAACTTCCCTAACAGTTTGTCTGTGCAGTAAAAAAAAAAAAATCCAAATTTAAACATGCTGAACTTATCAAAGGGTAACTCCCGTGCCAAGTCACACAGGAGGACCAAGCAGCGGTCATGTAAACGGCTGACCTCACAATAAATCGCTGCAAAATGCAGTTTGATAATCAATCAACGCGTTCGTTTTGTGCGATCAAGTTTTATTCGTTTGCAACATAATGACGACATTTCACGGTTAAACACGATACATTTTAACAACGATTGTATTTGGCCCCTCTAACATTAAAAAGCTTAAGTTTCTCAATGCAAATAAGATATCAGTTGAAGTTAAAGTTATTCTTAAAGTTATTCGCGTTAAATAATTTTAATTTTCTCGCCTGATTAAAAACAAACCATTACAAAATAAAAAAGGCATTACTTACAAAGTCACATTTCAATTTAATTCCAATATTTAATTTTTTTTTTTAAGTTGCTCAGTTTGTCTTTTTGGTTGGTTAAAGTCCTTTAATACCTACTTTACACATATACTTTACCCTTTTTTCAATCGCTTGTTATGCACACTATAACGTTGAATTTGCAGAGAATTTCTTTTTCCAACTCACCTTACTTTACTAAAATTACAGTTACCTGTAATGCAGTGAGAAATAAAATGTTCGATTATTAAGTGTAAGTAATTAAAACATTCAACGAAAATCGAGCCAAAATAATCTCAAATAATAATCTCAATCGGACAAGCTATTTTTGCAATTGTGGTCGTTAATTTTCCACAGTTGTGTCCTTGAATACGTTTCTCAATCCACAGTGGTTTTTTTTTGGGGGGGGGCCGCATTGAAAATTATTTTTAACATCCTTAGGTATAAGCAAAGTTGATAAGCATACAGATTCAACACCAGTTTAAAGCGTACGGTGCAGCATATTGTACAATTAGTAAGTGCTCAATTACTTTTTACAATCAGAGTTTACATTCGACAACTACAGCACCACTTCCATGCAATGAAACGATCCAGTAAGCACCGCCCCATGGTGTTCTGACCAATCGCAGCCGTGATTTATGTCCGACGTGCGTGCACTAAAGTCAGACATGCTTGCACGCGCGGAAGGAAAATGCAGCGTGGCATTGGAGAGTGGCACGTGTTAATTTGCCCACGTGCGCACTGGGCGGAGCTTACTGGATCGGTCCATTGTTGAACCGAAGCAATTTTGTTACATCTTTATTTTTTTTAATGTGCAGAGAATGTGTTTTCATTTTGAACAAAAGAGAACATGTTGCTGAAAAAAAATCTTCTTACTAAACATCTCTCACGAGAAATTATGTCATAAAGTCAACTACAGTATAGGTTTTAAACGATATCAAAATGATACATTTATATTTGCTGGTAATTTCCAGGTACCATTAGACTACAACAACATTAACAACAAGACCATTTTTACTTTTTTTTATACCGCTTGCGTTTTAGAGTCGTGTGCAAATTTTCAGAAAATTTGAATTATGTTTGACATACGGTTGAAAACGATTTGAGAGTTTCAGTCAAATGAAAAAAAAATATAGGTTTTCCTGGCTAATTTCCTAAAATGTTCATTCAGTTTAAAAATTGGTCATTCGTTTTCGTCTGAATTAGAAAGCACGTCTTTAATCCCATTTCAATTCTACGAGAGTTCAATCGTTTTCACTGTCCGTGTATTCGGTTTTGAGAAACAAACGGCCAATTACGTTACCTGTGCATTCATTTACACAAACATACCTGTTCGCGCAGAGTTCTGGAATACAATTTTGTGAATGACTGTGCAATAAAAAGTACGTTTATCTCATTCAAAATAGCAGATGACAAAGAAAAACATTGAACTAAAAGTTAAAAATGAAATGGTCAATGTTTAAAATCGCCCTCTGAAAGTGAAAAAGAAGCCTTGTAAACGAATCTGAATGAACATAAATGAAAGGTGCTGCTCAATCACTTAATTGATTGAACTGAAATGGAATTGAATGCTCTGGTAGCGAAAATGAAACGCCTGTTCAGGGCGATTCTCAAATTCAGACGAAAATGAATGACTTGTTTTCAGAAGTGAATGAAGATTTCAGAAAATTGGCCGGGAAAACCTATATTAGCGCAACAACAGGTTATTGGCCTGTATGTTACAACATAAACAGCACGAAAAAAAAGAAAGTCAACGCACATTGGAGGGGACGTAATTTTGAATCTGATCATCTTAGATGACGTCATTTATAAACCCATGGGGACGTTTGCTACCAAAGACCGTCAACCGTCCAAGATTGACAACAATTTATGAAAAAAATATGCAGTTGGAAACTTGTAAATTGAAAGATACGCGAGGAGAAATTGCTGAGTGCAAACACATGCAGCAATGTCCACTCGACTAGCGTACTCTTTAAATTTGCAACTGTTCAAACTGCGTCATTACCCAAAACAGTTGTCATTACGGTGCTCAACTACTTTTTACAATCAGAGATTAACTCAACAACCACAGCACTACTCCCGTGCACTTGCTAAACCAAACAAGTGTTAACAGTTGTTTAGTGCTAATGTGAGAGGAAATGTGAACAAAGGAGAACAAAACAGGATTGTGTTAGCAAACATCTCATACGAGAAATTATGCCATGACAATCAACTACATTAACGATTTTAAAAAACTTTTTCCAGATTTGTTGATCAAATGGCACAATTATATTTGCTTGTAGGTATATATGTTATAGGTACCATGAAACTACAACAACAGTAACAGCAAAATTAGTTTCACTCGTTTCCATACCCGATGGTGTTTCAGAGTCGCGTGCAACTATTATAATTTTTGTTTTCAGGTTGAAAACGATTTGAGAGTCTCAGTCAAATGGAGAACAGAAAAAAAATTGAGTGCGACAACAAATATTGGCCTGTCGAATTTTGGTCGCCTGTCCGTTGCAACATATTTTGGTCTACTGGATTTGCTTCAACTCTAAATACATCTATGAATACTTGCGACTCTGGAACGCCAGTTCGGCAAGAAAGTGTACGGTGTAAAGGTAACACTCTGCTCAAGGTGCGTTCATTCGTGAGGAAGCAGCTGACATTGAAATGGTGTTCCCATCCTCCACTCGATTTCTACGACACCGCTCGAGTACTAGTTTACTCAGCTCTGAGCGAAATTTCTCGTACTTGAAGCAGTAAATTACCGGGTTGACGAGCATGTTGCAGGCCACTAGGCTAATAAAGGGATCGGTCAACGGAGTGCTCCAATCTTCCGAAAGCTGCTTATACAGGTACAAGACTTCTACTGGTGTCCAGCACAATACAAACATTATGCCTATCAATATTGTCGTTAAGAGAACGTTTTTCTTGGCTTTATTCATGACTTTCCAAGCACCGTTCATTTGATTAGAAGATTTCTTTGTCAGCGTGATGATTATCCGGCTGTATGTATAGATCAAAATGGTCATTGGGACCAAGTATTCGATAGTAATCGTTGCTGAAATTTCGAAAACCTTCAAGCCAGTTTCGAATTCCGTAGGTTGACATTGTCCTTCATTAACTTCAAAAATAAATATAAAATGAGAGCCGTACATGAAGCCAATAGCCCAGGCTGTTCCCATGGCAAACTTCAGCTTAGCGGTAGACAAAGAATTTCGATGCTTCACCGGGTGGCAAGTTGCCATAAACCGCTCCAGCGATATGACGACAAGGTTGTAGGTCGACGTCACATTCATACACCACACGAAAACATCAACATTAACGAACCGACAGATTAATTGGTCGGAAATATAACCATCGAAGAAAACTGTTTTGGGGGCGATCTGCAAAATTACCTGCCAAACGAAAAACACAACGCCAGCAATACAGTCAATGACAGACTGATGCAGGATGAGGCGATTTGTGAAAGAGCTGAATACTTGTCGTCTGAGCAGCATAACAGTGATGACCATGCCGTTACCAAGCACAGCCAGGCAGGCGATGAGTGTGTACACTGCAGTAAGTTGAGGGCTACGCGGATTGGGTGTAAAGTCAAATTTGGTAGCGTTTCCAAAATCCGTCATGATTTCATTCAGGTCGTCTGAAGACATGATTTCGTCGGCGCCCGTTTTCTTGAATGTGGTATATGTTTCTTCAAGAACTTAAACCATTAGTATGTTGTCCGCATCTATGGTTCAGACTTCACTTCCTAAAGTGTTTTTTTTTGTGAGTGTGTTGTTATCCTCAGCTACGATTTCAGTCAACTGTCCACTCTGTTTTGGTCGGACAAAGACACCCATTTGGCTATATATACCAACAGGCGAGGTATCTATTTTATCAATCAGTGTGGTTGGCGCCTTTAGTTCAGACCTCATTCCCAAAAGGGTTTCAGTGAGTGTGTACCAATCCTCAGCTACTAATTCAATCAACGTTCCACTCTGATTTAATCTCCCAAAGACACCGACTTCTTTATGATGGCATGCCACTTCACCCAACCGCTATAATTTAATAAGAAACATGGCAACAAAACATTATTCGAAACACTTTATTTTATCCCTTTTTAAACAATGTTGACTCGTCCACGCTGAGATCACATTTCGAGGTCAATTTGTTTGTTGCTCTTTGCTGACAAACACTAGACCGGAATTTGCGTTTTCAATCACATCGCGGCTTCGCATTTTCAGCGTGTGATTTAAAAGTTTGGGGTATGAAATCAAATTATGTCCTGGTTTTGACAAGTTGCATTCCAAAACTAGAGCTCCATGTCTGTTCGATGAAAAGAAAGTAGGGCTTTCCTTACTTTATGTTTTAAAAAGTTGATGCTTAGTTTGTACATGTGCAATCACACTAATGTTCCGGCCCACTGCCATGCATCATGTCACTGAATAACCGCCCAGCATGTCCCAGATTTCTTTGATGCTCCAAGTGCAGCAGACCGAACTTTACCTGAAATATGTTTAACGTGTCCGTAGTCTTACATGTAGTTTCACAAGGCCCAGTAGGCTCAAAGCCTATGCACTCGGTTTCTGAGGAGACGTGTATGTACTAGTACCTTCAACTGTGATCGAAAATGTTGGTACTTCAAGCAATACATGATTAAGTTCACGAAAAGATTGCAAGCGATGTCACATTCATACACCATACGAAAACATCAACATTAATGAACCGAGATATCACCATCGAAGAAAACTGGGGCTTTTTTTGGAGATCTGCTAAACTACATGCCAAATGAAAAAAAAAAAAACAACGCCAGCAGCACAGTTGATGATAGACTGATGCAGGATAAGACTATTTCTGAAGGAGCTGAACACTCGTCGTCTGAGCAGCATAACGATTATGACCATTCCGTTACCGGTATACCAAGCACAAGCAGGCAGGCGATGATTGTGTACAGTGCAGCTAGCAAGTGGCGGGCTAAGGGAATCCAGTGCACTATTTCTGAAACTTGCCATACTTTTCAGGTCACAAAGCAAAGATGGTCAATGTTAGGCCATGCATGTCCTACGTAATGGACCCTGACACACCCGCTCAGAGGGCCTTAGAGTTTGCCGTTACTGGCTCTCAAGCCTACAAACCCAGACGAGGACGGCGTTGCATAAATCTACTGGGCACAATACGTGCTGACCTCAAACGGGCTGGACTCGGACCCCTAAGCACAAGTCCATTGCCTACGGCAACTCGCCCACGACAAGACCAGGTGGCCGAAGACCAATGTGAAGGACTGATTGCAGCTGCGGGATGTCAATTCCGACTACCGCAGCTGCAGTACACAGTATATAATAAATATATTTTGAGGATTGGTCGAAGTCGAGATTCCACCAAAAAAAATCCCTTGCTTTGCGTCAGTGTTTATATTGCTGCAATCTTTCGGCGAACTTATCAGATTATGTTTGTGGTAAAAGACTTTTTCATTAGGCCTTTCAAAGCTACATATTACTCATGATTTTGAAATTTTAATGAGGTTTACCGATCTTCGAATTTTACTGCATCAAAACAAATCTGTGATGGCTCAGTTAAACTTACCTACAAACAGTAGGCTATTCATTTTCCAGCGAGGACAGTAGACACATAAATGATTATTGAGATATCTTCGCAGTTGACTGTTCAAGTCAGATGTATGGCTCGTCTATTATACGCGATCTTTGAGAGAAGTATCTAGCAGAAGCCTCCATCACAACTCGATATTTTGTGAATAAAGGCCTTCACTACGTCGGTTGTCTATTTGTAAAGCAACTCGAGAAATAGAGCATAAACAATAAATAGGAACAGTGATCCACTTGACTCAATTAATGGTATGAAAGACATCAGCGTACGAACCAGAGTGAACCAGAACAGTGACAGCTGACGACACATTTCGGTCCTCTATTCCATTTCAGTTACCTAGGAGATACATCTAGTGCTGCGTGCAGTAGAGAGTTTCGTCGATCTTGAAAAACAAAATCAGCCCATTTAAAGCCCGCCGCACATGAGAGCTACGTGCTGAATAAAATGTCACTCGAGGCCATTTGCTGAACACGTAGCTCACAAAAAAATCCCCGAATGTTTACAGAGTTTTCTGCCTCGCAAGGCCGGCCTCGAAGCAAAATGTATCGTGTTTGATGTCTTTCGCCTCGTGAGGCGAAAAACTCAATCTTTGCATTCAACCTGATGAGCTAAAAAAGATTAACGTGTAATACTCATAACTGTTGTAGTTTCAAGGGAAAAGCGCAAAGAGTCCACAAGGTGCAATTGGGTCAGAGTGCTCCTTTAAACCATGTTCCAACGCTCGCTGTTATTAAGCTCTGGCAGAAGCTTCTACATGTTACTTAGTGGTCGGTCGGCCGGTTGGTCGGTCGGTGTGTCCCTAGACTTGATGACAAGTCGTTAGACTACAGTGGTTTAAGTCCGTCATCAGCGCCAGAATCCGCATACCATGCCACCGCAGTTCATGCAACGTGAGCGCTACAACCATTCATGCAAAAGTCATGTACTACCGCGCGGCATGGTCAGCACACGCATGGGATCGCACACGCATGGGGTCGAAAATGTACGTAGCGTCCCCGCTACTAGGACAGCATGCGGTACGTCGTACCCCCGGCACAGAGCTTGGCAGTCGCGCGCGGCGGACGCGATTAAAACCACTCATTACAGACTTGATTTCAAGTCTAGTGTGTCCCCGGAAAATTGACCTACATAAGCCCCCTAAGTTTCCATTAATATATAACCACCAAATTGTAACAGTCAAAAAAGCCAACAAAATGTATAAAATACTGAACAAAAACTGGGGTTTTTTTACAATTCGGAAAGATGTTGATAAAAGGTGTGTAAATGGAGGCAAAATATGTGCAGTAATGTTATAGTCACGGAGTATTCATCGGAAGTCGCTATAAAGCTGGGTATAAATCTAAAGTATTGTTTTCCATTGATGTATCATCAGCGTTGCATCTTTTGGCGTCACATTTTTAAGCTCTGGCAGGGATCATTTTATAAATTTCATGCAAGACTTTCATGCAAGACGGCCAAAGCTAATTATGCACTCGCACTTGTTCCGTTCCCTGTTCGGTAGAAAACTCATTAAAACCCTGCGGGAGGGGAGCATTTAATCATCCTAAAAGCCAATTTTCTTCAAAGACGGTTCGTGCGGCGCATCGAGCAATTATATCGTGTTCGTCATTGAGGCAAGCACATATTGCGTAAATTCAACTTTTTTGAGGAAAAAGTTGGGCCTTTTGTAGACTCATCGGTGCAATCATAAGCTTGGGTTGTCTTCCTAAAAGCAATATGAACATATGCATTATGTTTTCTTTGAGCAAATCTATTTAGTATTTTTTTCACTTTAGTCATATAGTCATGGTCACTTGATCTACAATGCAGGCTTCGGGCTCTATATGCCTGCCATTGCACGAAAAGTCGCTTTAAATTTCCACCGCTTTTGCATCCTTTCATTGATTTTTGAGACTTTTTGGTAGGACCTTGCATTAAAAAATAGACCTACATATCCCACATATTGATGTAATAAGTCTTTCAGTTTAGCTGACTTCATAGCGAAAATTTAGTGCAGTTTGATGAAAAATCATATAAATTATAACAGGTTCAGCGCCCTCTAAGTTAATGTTTAATGCCAAATAACCCTATTATACTACTCGAAAAAGGCCAAAACAAATTGAGCCCCCCCCCCCCGCAAAAAATGACAACCTCTTGGGGGGGGGCTCAAGCCCCCGAGCGCCCCCCCTCGGGTGCCCCACTGGTGGCAGTCACTGTGACAAATCAGTTCCCACAATAATGTGGCATGTGAAGTTGAAGCAACGTTTGCGGGAAGAAATACTTGTGACTGTGACTTGAAACAAGACAAGCATTCGCACAGTTTGATTTGCGGAACCGAACTTGCGTACCCAGAAATTTGTGGCATGATAATTATATGAAAACTGAAAATAAATCAATGTGTAGTTCTCTGAACGTTTATGTTGTAATTTGTTTAATGATCTTTTTTTAATGCGTATAGACCACACAAGAGCGTAATCAGGTCGAACGTGTTACTTCAACTCATGCATGTTTCGACACTCATTATAATTACCTTCTTTGTACGATAGAACTTTCATAAGCCCTGCGGGAAGTGCCGATAAATTGTATAAGGCATTTTATGTTAGCCAGTACTTTACAAGTAGTTTTAATCAAACTTAAAGCTAATTGCCTACGTTTTGTTTCGATCAGCTATAACAATGCCTTTTATTAACGTCGCATCTTAGTCGCACTCTAAGAAAAAATGCCCGTAATGTCACCGTAAAAGCTTTGTGAAGCGGTTATGGCTTTGACAGCACATTGATCAGCTTTTTATAATACATGTAGCGAACCTTGCGTGTATGGTACTTAAGTTGTTCTACAAAACCCCTCAAGGATTGAACACACAAAGGGAGATCAACTTCTTTTCAGTCCTCGGGAGTTGGGTCTTTTGTTCAAAACGGTCCTCTGTAGTAGGTTTGTATGCTCAGTCTATGGAAGAGCGTTTTATTACAGGGACAAATGAAAACACCAGGGAGTATAGTAAAACAAGAGCGGGTGCAATAGGTGTGTATACGAATCATAGCTTTCAAAGCATTGTCAATCAACCTGCGTCACCGCATCACGTTTTGCAGGAAATTCACGTAGAACGTTCCTTCTTGTGACGGTTCAAGCAATAAAAGCAATAAACCGTAAATAATACGGGAAATGAACAGTCTTTGATACAATATTTTGTATCCAACTATACACGAGAAATGCAAATTAAAGTAACGGTCATTAAAAAATACATGACATATACCTTAACAGATAAACCAAATCATACTCAAAATGGCGTTGGGGGATTTTTTATATTCAGGTAAATAAAGTCCGAAAACCTGTTTTATGTACACAAATGTGTCCCATCGCGTTAATTCAAAAATACCGCGTCCGTCGTTTCTGCCATGATTTTACACAATTCTACTGTCATGTCCGCGTTAAGTCGAAAACGAGGCGTATTTTTTAATAGACTAAAATCGTGAAAAACAGTTTAAAACTATAATTAACCATTCTTCATTTTATCAATTTTACACGGCCTGAATTTCTCTAGTTTAAAATTCACTCAAACTTACGTGCAGCAATACAATAATTCATTATCCTTCAGGTAACTTCGTTTTCCATCAACGTGATTATCACGAGTATATTTTCCATTCAAGAAAACATGGGAAACTTCTGGTAAAATATTGACGTGAAAATCCCGTCATTATATGGGCAGCCAGAAATTTGAATTTGACGATAAAACTCTATTTATGTAATACGTAATTCTCAAGTCATAATTACGTCAGTCATACGAAGTACGACGATATAACCAGCTGACAACGTCTTCACTAGCAGGGTAGTGGTCATTGGTATCATGTAACATAATAAGTTGGGGCCCAAACGCACAAAAGATCAATGTGTGTGAGACAGCTCCACAGCTTGCCCAATCGACCTTGCGGTTTGCATTCCACATGCAACACGCTGGCCACGTGCACTCACACAACTTACCTAAGCAAGAAATCCAGTCATTGGGAAAAAAACTTTGACAACAAAAATGATCATTGGTTTCTTAACCTATGAAATCGAGTTTTATATGAATGGAAAGAGAACTTCATCCTCTTTACAAAACAGCTACCCCAGTGCGCTCTGCCGTTGGGTTCTCGAGATACGTTCAGATATACAACCAAAGGTATGTCCTAAACGGTCATTTTCTGTTCCGCTCCATAGGCAATTGCCTCATACCTCACATTTTCAATAAAAAATGATCAGTGGTTTTTCTGCCTTTCCAAGCCAGACATAGATAGACGTAAAGCCAGAAGAATGAATTTTCATAATCTGCAACCCCCAGATTTGTGCGACCGTCTGCTCTGAAGATACAAGGAATTTAGTGTAAAAATGGGCTATCTTTGTGGTCATTTCCCACGTCAAAGCTTATGTGGATATTTCCGGTCGAGCAGATGCGCTACTTTTCATTAAGGAGACACGTTATCGTAATTTCTTCGAACGGTGGGAGACACCGGTCATTAGGGAGACATTTGGATGTCTCCCTAATGTCACAGCCCCCTTAAGAGGCAAAATTGTATTGTTGCAATTAGATTATATTTGTTGCTCGTGGTCTAATTAGTAAACATACAGAATTTCTTGGAAAAAGGACAAGGGAAAATTGGGTTAGGGCACATTGAAGTTTGAAAAATTGAAAAAAAATGCACAACTCTATAGGAATGTCTCCCAAATGACCCATTTCCCGTAATTATAATTAATTTAAATCGTCAAGCATTACTGTAAATCGTGAAGCATCATAATGCACATCCAGACAGACGACGATTGCGTTCAGATCGACAGTCTAAAATTTACTCAGTGCTACCGTGCCACCATTGTGACCCGTCGGCAATCAAAATGAACAATTAGGCCTACATTCTTACCGCCTGAACTCGATTTAGACTTGGCCTAATTGAAATAAACAAAACATAAACAATGGGCTGTTCAAGTATGTATAAGCAAAGTTGAAAAGTATACAGATTCAACAATTAAAAGCGCACGTATAGGCCTAATGACTCGTGGGAACACGGTGCAAAATAGTGTACAATTTGCTCAACTACTTCTTAAAATACTTGAACTACTTCTCAATCAAAGCAATGTACAACTATATATTTTAAGGTGAAGGAAACAAGTATTCGTTTTGAAGATGACATGTTACAAAATACAATATATCATGTTACCATACAGCCACTGAAGTTTCGGGTTTGAACGGGTTTTTTTTCTTTCAGTTTTGTTGATCTCATATGATGCATGTTTATGTGTTGGTACTTTCAAGTACCAACGCGAATAAGAACATCTACATGCGAACTCTTGTTGTCTGTTGAAATCGAGCAGAGATTTTAAAAATAAGTTGATCTACTAGAGGGGCCTCGTAGCCGAGCGATTAGAGCGTGGAGCTACGGATCGGAAGGTTGGCGGTTCGAGTCGCATTCGGACCAAAAACTGGAAAAAAAACCTCTCTCCGACGACCCAAGAGTAAAATGGGTACCTGACTCGTTCAGGGAAGGTAAGACGGCGAGAGGAGAGGACTGGGCACCGTCACTCGTATGCCGCGCCCAAGACACAGTGGATCTCTAACATGCCACTGCCCCTACGGCCAGTAATGGTTATAAAACCTTTTTACTGTTACAAATGTCGTCCACTGAATTTCGCTCTCAGTACATCCTTGGTTAAATGCGACTCTAAAACGCCAGTTTGGAAGGAAAGTATCCGCTGAAGATGATTGTGAACAACATGCATTACATTTGTTATCATTCGTGCAAATCACAAATCGACATGCCGAAAGAGCATCGACATGCCAAATCTCGTTGGCTGTTTTTGATTAAAACGAAAGAATTAGTGTAGCTACAAAATATTGGCCTGTCTACGACTTGGTTTGCTCTAAATACATCTTTGGTTAGGTGCGACTCTGAAACGCCAGTTTGGAAGGAAAGGGTCAGATGTAAATGCTTCACTCCGCTTAAGATGATTCACCAACATGCATTCGATTTGCGTTCATTCTTGAGGAAGCAGCTGACATTGAAATGGTGTTCCCATCCTCCACTCGATTTCTTCGACACCGCTTGAGTACTAGTTTTCTCAGCTCTGAGCGAAATTTCTCGTACTTGAAGCAGTAAATGACCGGATTGACGAGCATGTTGCAGGCCACTAGGCTAGTAAAGGGATCATACAACGAAGTGTTCCAATCTCCTGTAAGTTGACTATACAGGAACAACAATTCTATTGGTGTCCAGCACAACACAAACATTAATCCTATGAGAATCGTCGTTACCAGAACGTTTTTCTTGGCTTTATTTGTAGTATTACGAGCACCAATCATTGGATTAGCAGACTTCTTGGTAAGCGTGAAGATTATCCGGCCGTATGTACAAACCAAGATCGTTATGGGAACCAAGTATTCAATAGTAAACTCAGCTGAAAACTGGAAAACCCTCAAGCCAGTCTCCAATTCCGTAAGTTGACAATATCCTTCATTAATTTCAAACAGAAATGCAAAATGAGAACTGTATATGCAGCCAATAGCCCAGGCAGTTCCAATGGCATACTTGAGCTTGACTGAGGAACAAGTATTGCGATGCTTCACCGGGTGGCAAGTCGCCATAAACCGCTCCAGCGATATGATGACGAGGTTGTATGTGGATGTCACGTTCATGCACCACACGAACAAATCAAAGTTAATGAACCGACACATTAACTGCGCATAAATGTTACTCTCGAAGGACATTGGTTTTTCGATGACCTGTAAAACTACCCGCCACAAGAAAAACACAACGCCAGCAACACAGTCGATGACTGACTGATGCAGGATGAGACGATTCGTGAAGGAGCTGAACACTCGTCGTCTGAGCAGCATAACGGTGATGACCATGCCGTTACCAAGCACAGCCAAGCAGGCGATGAGTGTGTACACTGCAGCAAGTTGAGGGCTGAGCAGATTCGGTGTCCAGTCGTCTTGGGTTGAGTTGTCGAAATCCGTCGAGATTCCTTTTGGGTAGTCTAAAGACATATTTTCGTCGGCCACCAGTTTTCTGAAATGCGATGTCTGTTTCTAAAGAACTAAGCCATCGGTGTGTGGTCCGCATTTGTGGTTCCCACTTTATATCCAACGGTGTTTCAGTGAGTATGTAGCAATCCTCAGCTACAAATCCAATCAACGTTTCACTCTGATTTAATCACCCACTGTCGCCAGTTTTCTTTGTGATTACTTGCAACTTCTGCCAACTGCTACAATTTAATAAAACACATGGCTACAATGCCAAACTCGAAACACTTTAATTTAATCCTTTTGCAGTCCAAAGAAATTTGCTCGTCCCGACTGAGGTATAATTGAATTAAGAAGTCAGTTCGATGTCTTTGCTAACGAATACTAGTGACGAGTGTTTGCTTTCAATCACATGGCTTCGCAATTTAAGCGTGTGATTTAATAGTTTGAGGGTTGGAATTCAGTTATTTCCTATTTGCCTTGTACCAACAACAGGCCTACAAGGCAAATTAAGTTCGGCAATGGCGTGGTCTAACACAAATATCTCTAGGCCGTGGCTCTAGCGTTGGAAGGCACCCATGCCGATCAAACACCTGTTTGTGTGTTCCGTAATCTGTTTAGCATCTGAATACATATCTATGCGTACGAGCTCCTTCAAATGGGATCGAAAAATATAGGAACTGCAAGTAATAAAATGTATGATCAGTTTGGCAAACATGTTGCAATCTTCGAATGGAGAAAATATTGTATAAAACAACTTGTTTATCTTATCATACATTATCGAGTTTTCAAAGTTATAGATCTTGACGAGTGTCCAAAACAAGACAATCGCAAATGTGTGCAATGTGAAACAAGTAATCCAATCCAGTCTGGAGATCCGCCGTCTAACAATACCCCTGGTGTTGTTGACTTAAAAAAAATGGGCACACTATCAATACAGCCTACAATCAAGGCAGTAGGAACGGCAATCTTAAGCTTTAATTTGGTCCAAGCGTTGCGATACTTCAATACCAAATCGCCATAAACTGCTCAAGCGATATGATAACAATGTTGTACGTGGATGTCACTTTGACGCACTAAAGTACGAAATCTGAATACACGAAGCGACAGAAAAGTCGATCATTTAAGGTACCTTCGACTGATACTTAAATGTGTTGACTCTTGATAACGACATGAAGAAGAACATAACTCCACCGATAGAGTCAATGATAGACTGGTGCAGGATGGAACGATGTGTGAAGGAGCTGAACCCTGCCTGTCCGAGCAGCATAACGGTGATGACCATGACTAAGCACGGCCAGAGAGGTGTCGATTGTGTTGACTGCATCCAGTACAGTACACGGCTGACAGGTTTCGGAAACCATTCTCCACTCGGTTGCTAACACAGTTTGAGTTCTATTTTTCTCAGCTTTGAGCGAAATGTCTCGTACTAATTAAAGCAGTAAATAACCGGATTGACGAGCATGTTGCAGGCCACCAGGCTGGTAAAGATATCGTACAGCAGAGTGTTCCAATCCCCCTGGAAGTTGTAGGTACCATACTTCTATTGGTGTCCAGCACAACACAAACATTATCCCTATCAGCATTGTCGTAACGAGAACGTTTCTCTTGGCTTTATTTGACGAATTCTGACCACCGTTCATGGATTAGCAGATTCTTGGTGAGCTTGATGAGTATAGATTAAAATAGTAATGGGTACCAAGTATTCAAAAATAGTCGCCGGTGAAGTTTCAAGAACTTTCAAACCAGTTTCCAATTTCGTAGGTTGACAATGACGTTCATTTACTTCAAATAAATAGATATAATGAGAGCCGATGAAGCCAATGGCCCAGGCAGTCCCAATGGCAAGCGCAGCCAGGCAAGCATTGATTGTGTTGACCGCATCCAGTACACGGCTGGCAGGCTTTCAGAAAACATTCGTCGTTTTGTATCGCTTCCAAAGTTGATGCCGAGCAAAAGTTGTTGCTTCTTTCTGAAGCGGTTCTCGTAATGTCTGGATACATCTTGCCATTAACCCTGTACAGTCAGACAGAAGAAGAGTGTCTGTTGAAAATTATAGGATTTTTTTTTTCGACTTGGTTCGCTCTAAATACATCTTTTGTTAGGTGCGACTCTGAAACGCCAGTTTGGAAGGAAAGGGTCAGATGTAAATGCTTCACTCAGCTTAAGATGATTCTCCAACATGCATTCGATTCGTATTCATTCGTGAGGAAGCAGCTGACATTGAAATGGTGTTCCCATCCTCCACTCGATTTCTACGACACCGCTTGGGTACTAGTTTTCTCAGCTCTGAGCGAAATTTCTCGTACTTGAAGCAGTAAATGACCGGGTTGACGAGCATGTTGCACGCCACCAGGCTGGTAAATATATCGTACAACAGAGTGTTCCAATCTCCTGAAAGTTGTAGATACAGGTACCACACTTCTATCGGTGTCCAGCACAACACAAACATTATGCCTATCAGCATTGTCGTGACGAGAACGTTTTTCTTGGCTTTATTCGTGGTGCTCCGAGCAACATTCATGGAATTAGCAGATTTCTTGGTGAGCTTGCTGAGTATCCGGCTGTCTAGACACTATCTGTCTTTGTCAAAAAATTAAAAAATCATTATACCGAATCATATTCATAAATTGAAATGTTATATGTGCATTAATATTTAGGCCTTGTCTCACACACTTGTCCTGTCTGTCTACCGTTGTGTTTTGTTTGTCCCTTGTTACAGTACTTTGGTTGTATGTCTGTCCATAGGTAAGGGCACAAAAGCGTCTGCTTAACCTTATACCTAACTGTTGTCATTTAATATTACACTTATTAGTAATCACTGTGTACATAACTGTCATATATATTACTATTGACCTTTCTTAATTTATACATGATTGTACATAATTGTAATGAATGACATCATTGAAATAAATGTTTCCAAACTAAACTATGTATAGATCAAAATGGTAATGGGAACCAAGTATTCGGTAGTAATCACCGCCAACGTTTCAAAAACCTTCAAACCAGTTTGCCGTCTTTAACTTCCAAAATAAATACAAAATGAGAACCGTATATGAAGCCAATAGCCCAGGCAGTACCCACGGCAAACTTCAGCTTGCCCGAAGACCAAGAATTGCGATGCCTCACCGGGTGGCAAGTCGCCATAAACCGCTCCAGCGATATGATGACAAGGTTGTAGGTTGATGTCACATTCATACACCATATGATAACACCAAAGTTAATGAACCGACAGATTACTTGGTCGAGGATACTTCCCTCGAAGAACACTGTTTTGGGGTTGATCCGCAAAATCACCTGCCAGAGGAAAAACACAACGCCAGCAATACAGTCGATGACAGACTGATGCAGGATGAGGCGATTTGTGAAGGAGCTGAATACTCGTCGTCTGAGCAGCATTACGGTGATGACCATGCCGTTACCAAGCACAGCCAGGCAGGCGATGATTGTGTAGACTGCAGCAATTGGCGGGCTAAGGGCATCCTGTGTCCAATTGACATTTGTACTATTTCCGAAATTTGCCATAATTTTCTGAAGATTGGTCGAAGTCGAGATGACACAAAGATTTATTACGCTTGGCGTTAGTTTTATTACTGCAATAGTTTTCCGTTTTGGGTAAAACGGATTTTGTTTGTGGTCTCAGACTATTTCATGAGGCCTGTTAAGGCTACATTTTAGTCACTACATTTGAATTTTTTTAGAAGTGTTTACTGATATACGACTTTCATCTCCAAAAAAAATGTTGTAATGGCCTAGTTCGAATAACTACATGGCTATATTCGTTTTCACTAAGGTCAAAGACACATAAGTGATGATTAAAATATGTTCGCAGTTGCCTGTTAAAGTCAAATGCATGGCTCGTTTATCTGTACGCGATCTTTCAGATAGAAGTAAGTGATCTGTCTGACATTATTGTTGTGATGACAATATGGGTTTTAAGTAACCTTGGAGATACATACGCAGTAGCTTTCATTAAAGATCTTCGTCGATCGGGAAAAACATCAACACATTTCGGCTTCACTTTCGTTCAGAGATCGCCCAATTTTACTGCTAACACATCAACATTATTGTTTACACTCACGAAGACAATGTGAAAACACTACGTTAGCTATTATGCCTTGTTTATACGTATTTCCAGCAGGGATTATAGTGCTCAACTTATGTGGTACAGGTCTCAACTTCAGACTAGCACCGCATAGGCCTAATGCATGTCATAAAAATGACAGTTCACTGTGGGAAATCAGGCCTCACAATAATGAGGCACGTGAATTTGAAACAACGTTTTATGGCGTGAAACACGTGTGACTTGAAGCAAGACAAGCATTCGCGCAGCTCGATTATGGCGGACCAAAATATTTGCACTCAAAAATTTACTCATATGATCAATACACACTAAAATACTAGTTTTGTGAACGTATTATTTTACTTTTTATACCAAACTGTTATAATTTCGTGGGAAATGATTATCAATTTAATGTCCGCAATGGCACCATCAGGTTGAACGTGTTTCTTTAAACCATGTTCCAGAGCACATTGTCATTCCCTTTTTGTATGGTAGAAGACTCATTCAAACCCATCGGGAGGGGAGCATTTGACGAGCAGTTTTAATCATACTAAAAACCAATTTTCCAAAGAGGCGTTTCGTGTGGCTGCATTAATGACTTTTTGCCGTGATCAAAAAAGAAATGGCTCTTCAACCAGGAATGAATGTCCTTCCTTTCATATCGTTGCCCGCTTCGACGGGGACCGTTTCCTGATTGCGAAGCAATCATTTCCGCTTGGGAGTTGTTCTCGTGACATCCTTTTGGATGGTCTCACGCCATTCAGGGCATCAATTACGAAAGCCCTGGCTTGCAGCTCATTAAAAGAACGGCTATTGTGCGGTTCATCTGCCGCGTCTGCCTCAAAATGCACCAGCAAAGATTGCTCATGATGAAATACCAAGAAAAGTGAAAAGACCGGCAGGGTTCAGAAACGAACATGGTTAGACACAATCAGCAACGACCTCAAATTACCCGTAAGCA